AACACTCTTCTTGGATTGGAATTGGAATTGGGATCCTCCAGGACCCTGGGCCCAGAAAAGGGGACGCACAGCTGAAGGCGAACGAACGCTTCTTCTTCTTCTTCTTCTTCTTCTCCTTCTCCGAATGGGCGGTCCCTCCCGTCCTTCTTCGTGTCTCCCACGCGCTCTCTCGTCTTCCGCGCGCTTCTCTGGCGCCTCTGTTTGAGTGTGGTGGTGCTCGGACGGGGCGGCTCGCCTCCTCTCTCTCTCCTTCTCCATTTCACTTTCATCCGACCGGAGACCGGAGACCCCTTTCCTCGCTTTCCTGTGTCCGGAAATGTCGGCTGGCGGACGGTTTCGCGTCCAATCGGTGCTCGACGGTGGCGGCGGCGGAACCGAGCCCAACTCGGAGCAGAATCTCGCAGCGCTCAGCACCGCCTCAATTGGCCCCAGGAAAGAGAGTGAGTTTTTGTGTTGCTGTTCTAGTGAGCTGAAAATCGCGTTTTTTGTGTCAAACTGCTCCTGGACTCCCAGTTTAAAAGTTTCGCGTCGAAGAGTACATACACTCACAAATACACGCACATATCAGTGTGCACTTCACCCCCAATTCTCTAACCGCCTACGCCCTCCCCGTCTCTCTGCCGCTATTGTCGGTCTCGTCGGCCAACTGGCATAGAGGGAAAGGTGATTTGATTATTATATGGCCATTACTATTCTTTACTTTGGGGAACGACGCAAAAGTGCGTCAGTCGGTAAATCTTTGCACGTTCTTTCACGGTTTGACGATTTTGATGCAAAAACGGCACTCATCCAAGAGATTCTAGCTTGATAAACTTACAAAAAGTTTGGGAAAAGTGATAAGAGAAGCGTATCGTCTATTATTGACTTGCAAGAACCGCGAAATTGAAGCAAATGGAATGGAAAAATGGCTTTTTTTCGAAACTGTACACGTTTTTGTCAAACTGTGCTCATGCTATGATACCTCTCTGAAACCGTGACAGTTTTTTTAGGACAAGTGAGACATTAAATTTATTGTCTAAAACCCCTGCAGACATGTGTAATGACAAGTTTTTTTGAAACTCTACCTTGTTTAGGATGATGTAGTACCGAAATGGCTTTGAACTTGAAATTATTAGCTAACGTTGGATGCTGTTACTGTAGTTTACGGCTCTAAAACTTTTGTTGAACCCGCGTTTTCCAGGAAAACGGCAACGAAATGTGGCGGAGAGAAAAACAAAATTGAATTTACTCTCTCTCTAGCAATCTCATCTCTTTTACCCAAAAAAAAAAGGAGGGAAAGAGAGGAATGGATTCTTTTTCCATTTTCATTTCCTCGAGTCGTCCACACAAAAAGTTGGAGCGGAAATGGAGGGGGATTAGAGGAAATAAAGGGGAAAACGAAAGAAAAGGAGCGACAAAGTGTGTGTGTTTTCACAGAATCGAATCGAAAAGGGGGAGATTAGAAGCGAGCGGAGAAGGACCATATCTCGCGGTCCGATGAGTGTATCAACGTGTTGTCAACGGGAAAGTTGTTGCAAATTGTGTGCTCTACAACTTTCTAATTGACCGTTTTGCGCTAGAATCTTTGGTTTCGGAGCCAACAGACATTATCACTGTTTCTCACTGCTATCAAATATTTTGCCATGAACCCTGTCGAATTCTCTGATCTTTTTTACTGTTTCATCATCTCCACTTGTCCCATGTTTCAGTCATATAATTTAGTCGCTGAAAACCAACAACACTGCTTCAATTTTCAAGTTTTCGTCACTTTTCATAAACTATTCCATTTGCCCAAATATTCTCAGTTTCACAATTGTCCCAACTACTTTTTCACTCTGACTTTTCACTTTCACTTTCACGTTTCGCTTTTCCACGTGCCTCTACGGTTTCGAAACTATATTGTCGGTCTGAATTTTGATTCGTCCAGCTTTATACGTCTTTTCCGGATCGTTCAACTCAGAAATGCATGCTCTATCGATTTCTGTTTCCTAAACGACATAACCGCATGTTCGAACATGAGAAATTGCTAATCTGTGCCTCTTTTTTCCGGTCCCAACACTAGATTGTGCTGTTTTTTGCAAGTGTACAATAGTCGCCGAGAGGTCTAGTCGTAACTCGATCCCAACACTCATTTTTTCCGCGCTCTCCGTCTCTTCGTCTCGCCTTCCAATCACTTTGTTCGCTCACAAGTAGTCACAAGTAATGTACATCACGACAACTCTTCACACAGTTATCTTTTCTCTCCGAGAGTGGAAACCAGATCAGAAAACGAATGTATGGGGGCCAGCAGAACGATTAGCGGAAAACGGAACTGAAAAACGGAAAACGCGTGTAATTGCCTCTCTTCCAACCTTTTTTGCGCGAGAAATTTCGAGACTTTTCAACTGGGGACCAAGGATTTTGTCGTACGTGTGTCTCCTAAAAGTCTTCAATCTTTCAACGAGCAGATTATTCGGTCGGAATTTCAAATCTCTCGTTTCTCGCTGGTTGCTTTTCTGCCTAGCAACCAGCCGAAATCACATGTTTTCGAGTAGAAAATAGAAATTGGTGCTCTCGTCGCTCGAGCAGGTAAACACGCACGTATATTTTGCGGGACTTGCGCAAGCAATTTGGCGCACTCTGGGGGTTTTCAGGCATTCACAGCGCGGTGATTGGATTCGAAACGTCGTTTTGAGACAAAATGGTTAATTACGGCAGACAAAATAGAAGCGGCGACCGCGCGGTTTACCACTCGGCCACCGGCACACCGCGAGAGGGCAGCGGCCGGGCGAGTAGATATGCGAGCGCAGCCAGCCTTTTTTGCATCGCCGTTTCTCTTTCATTTGTAAGTTTGACGGACCATATCTCGGAGACGAGTAATTGTATCAAAAAGTAGTCAACTGAAAAGTTGTTTCAAATTTCAAGCTCTACAACATTGTAATTGAGGATTTCATTCCAAAACCCGTCATTCTAGAGTTACGATAGTTTGTCCCACACTCGCCCATTTTTTTTGTGTATTTTGCTCGATTCTCTGAATCTTCATCGCCATCTTGCTCATTTGCAACAACCAATTCAGCCAAAACACCATCACAAGTAGTAGTAGTAGTAGTAGTGTATCCAATTAACATTTGCACAAGGGAAACGAAGAGTGGCCTCACTTTCCAACCAACACGCACCATTATTAGCCACTTTTCTGTTATTCCTAGCCAAATATTGCCAAATATTAGAAACATTAGGTGCCTCGAGATCTTTTGAAAACTTTTCACAAGGAAATGGAACGGAAATAACTGTAATTTCTCCAAAATGCTCAATTCTGGTGCCGAAAGTTCAGCTGCGCTCAGTTTCGCTTGAAAAGTAGTGTGACAGCTGAAAAACTAGTCAATATCTCATTTTCAATTAGCTTTTTCGCTTTTAACACAAAATTCGAGTGAAAGAGCAAATGTCTCCTCGTCTTCTTTTCTCCTGAATAATTGATTCGTCCCGTCGCCGCCGCCGCCATCCATCGCTCTTATTCTTATTCTGTTCAATTTCTCATTCGCCTTTTGGCCCCCCGCCCCAATTTTTTTCGATTTTTTTCGTCTCGGAAAAGCAGCACTAATCGTCGGAGGGACCATTCCATTCCACATTTCCCCTTTTCGGCCGGCCAATTACCAATCGGAGCACTCGAGAAAAGAGCAACTCGGAACGTCATTTTCGCATCAACATAAATTGAAAATTGGCTATATACGAGCGAATGCGATGTGACGTGGCATTTGTGTCGTTTTCCGGATCAGGGGGCGGAGATTTGCGACCTGGCAGTCGAAGAAAAAAGTCCCAACTTCCAGGAACCATATCAGGCTTCGGAAAAGTGGTTCTCAAAAGTTGTCAACTAGAAAAATGAAGTACTAGACGCCTGGATTATGCTGAAAATTTTTGAGACTGATATACGGTCCCTCAAAGTTGATGTGGTCCCTCAAAGTTGCCCAGTCGCTTTTCTGTTTCCCATGTCAAATCCGTTCTCAAGTTGTGTTCAAGCCCTGGTCGTCAAAAATTCTATCGAAAATACGAGCCAACAAGTTCCAACTTCCAGGGACCATATCAGGCTTCCGAATAGTGGTCCTCAAAAGTTGTCAACTAGAAAAATGAAGTACTAGACCCGTGGATTATGCTGAAAATTTTTGAGACTGATACGCGGTCCCTCAAAGTTGATGTGGTCCCTCAAAGTTGCCCAGTCGCTTTTCTGTTTCCCATGTCAAATCCGTTCTCAAGTTGTGTTCAAGCCCTGGTCGTCAAAAATTCTATCGAAAATACGAGCCAACAAGTTCCAACTTCCAGGGACCATATCAGGCTTCCGAATAGTGGTCCTCAAAAGTTGTCAACTAGAAAAATGAAGTACTAGACCCGTGGATTATGCTGAAAATTTTTGAGACTGATACGCGGTCCCTCAAAGTTGATGTGGTCCCTCAAAGTTGCCCAGTCGCTTTTCTGTTTCCCATGTCAAATCCGTTCTCAAGTTGTGTTCAAGCATTTGCTTGAAAAGCTCTCCAGACATCCGTTTTTCTTCGTCCTCTTCAAAACTTTTGCTCCTCCTCGCTTTGTGATGAGCCGAACACCCTTTTCTTCTTCTTCTTCTTCTTCTTCTTCTTCTTCTTCTACTTCTTCTTCTTCTTTCTCCCTTTCTCCACGAAAAGCGAATTTCAACAGGAGGGAAGGGCGGCGCGAGACTGTAATCGAATTGAAAAACCGAGAAAAACGAGGCGAAACGAGAAAATCTGTGTTGTCGCCTAGACCCAGAGATGATTACCTCGAAAGTAAGAGTAGTGGAGAAGAAGAAGAAGAAGATACTAGTTTGAGAGATAGAGCGGGACCGCACGAGCGCGCGCATACGGAAAAAGAGGTCCTCGTTTGCTCACATTCCCCCTTTTCTTCTTTTTCCCGTCGCCAGAAGAAGAGGTCCTCCAGCTTCTCACCTCTTCAAACAAACTTCTTCTTCTTCTTCTTCCTCTTCGCCCCGCCCCTTTTCCTCCATTTTTCCCCCCATCCACTTCCACTTCCACTTCAAAATGACGCTTACCACTTCGGCGCCGATGCTCCGGTCAACTAGTATTCCAGTCAAAAGCGCCGCCGATCCTGTTCCGTCGACCTCAACGGAGCCAACGGTGGTGACGTCACGACGCTCCTCGTCTGGCGGTTCGGGCGGTCCGGCGAGCAGAAAACCGCCCAATATGCATATTAATATACCCGCAGGTACTTGGATAGTGTTGGAAGCACAATTTGTATCCAGGCGCTGTGATTTTGCCACAAAACTGGAGCTCAAAACCGTTCAAACGCAGTGAAATACAAAAATTCCCGGTCCCTAAAGGCTCAGAGGTCAATTTTGACCAAAAAAACCAGTTTTTATGCCTCTCAGCTGGTGCACAATATTAGATTAGATGGACACTTTGCAACCGGTGGGAAATGGCCTCAGTCTGGTTGCAAAGTGTCCGATGACTGAAAACTTGTGAAATGGTAACTTGTTTTTTTTGTTGGTATTTTCACTAGCTGGTTGCATTATTTTCCATGACTCTATTAAAACAATTTCAAGGATCCGGAAGTGTTGAAACCGAAAAGTACAAAATTTGTGTTTCACGCGGTCCTCAACTGTTGGATGAGGGCGTTTTTAACAGAGTTGAGCGGAATAACTTAACGGAAGAACACGGAAGAATTTTTATCTTTTTTAGAAATTTTTTTCATGGAATGTGATCAATTGACGAAATGTATAGCAAAGTGAACTGTGCTCATAGAAAAATAATTGTAAATTTAGCTTTTCATACAAAAAAGTTATTCGAGTTGTTCCGTGGAAAAGGGGGCGAACGGAAGACAACTCGCGTAACTTTTTTGTATGAAAAGCTAAATTTACAATTATTTTTCTATAAGCAGAGTTCACTTTGCTTTACAATTCGTCAGTTGATCACATTTCATGAAAAAAATTTTTTTCTAAAAAAATATAAAAAAATTCTTCCGTGTTTTTTTCCGTTGAGTTCTTCCGCTCAACTCTGGTTTTTTAAGTGTAGTCTGAAAACCATGCACTTTCACATTGCTCACAATTGAGTAAATCAAATATTGTGTCAATCATCTTGAGGGGACCGTTCAAATTGATCGGTCCGCGAGGTTGTAGAACGTCTAAATGACCAGATCAAACCCCCTCCCAATTTCTCCAAGTTTCCCTCACAATCCGTCGATTTTTTTGCAGATGAAGGCGCCGAGCGGATACCCCTGTGCGAGCAGCATTCGCCTCTGGCACTTTATGAGGTACGTCAACCGCGTTTTTCCTTCTTCTTCTTCTTCTTCTTTCTTCTTCTTCTTTTTCTTCCCCGATGGATGTCGATACACAAACATCGCTTGTGATGAGTGAAAACAGAGATAGAAGAAGAGTGTAATAACTGTGGTGCCGCTAGACCGGAGGTCAACACGTCTCTGGATTGATCCTCAAGGGATGGACCGTCTGGACCAAAACAAGCGGAACCGCGCATTTTACATGGAAATTTGATACGTTTGGGCATAGCGCCGCACACGCTTACCTACAATATTTGTTTTTGTTTTCCGAGTAGCCCGGTGGGGAGGAATGCCGTTGTAATATTGTCCGTATCTCAGCTGCAGGTAGAGATATCGAAAAGCGGCCAACTAGAAAAATGTACATTTCGGTTTGATGAACAATATATCAGTTGACAACTTTTTGATAAAATCACTGGTGCCCGAGATACGGTCCCTCAAAGTTGGCGATAATTTTTGATGCCCTCTGCACTGCACACACACAAATTTCATTTCATCTTCTATTCCTGTCGCCTAATCCCTTATTTTCTTGGAAACTTTGTCCCTTTCCGTGTTTGTGACGTCACTGCCCTTTCTTCTTCTTCTTCTTCTCTCTTTCGCTCCATCTTCTTCTTCTTCTCCCGGTGCTCTTGAAAGTGTCAATGAGCAAAAAGGGCGGTGAAGAGTGAGTAAAAGCGTCCGATTTCACGGCGGATAGCTTTGCAGACACCCAAAAATTTGATGGCGCATAGAACCACCAAGTGGGGCCACCCACGTTCAATTTTTCATTTTCAGCAAGACTACTGACACACAAGGCCAGAAAAATCGGAACAATGCTCCACAAATTGTCAGTCTATAATGCGACGGAGGCGACGAGTGTCGAGAGCGGACGAAAAAGCCCAAAAAGCGGTGAGTTTCGAGACGGTTCCTGGCGGATCACAGTGGATCCTTGTGGTTTCTAGCGCTTGAAAGTGTCGAAAAATGGCTATAACCTTCGAGTTGAGGCTAGTACAAGTCAATGTTTCACACTTTTCGATTTTTCAACGTTTTTCCACTTGCCATACCGAACAAACGTTTTGCAAAAAGTGTTGCGCGCTCGCCTAATCCACTCATCAATCAAAGAGCACTTTTGCCGTTTGATGGGTCTTTAGACCTATGAACTTTGGCGGGGTACAGTAATCCAAAGCGCTTCCCCAATTTTCAAGCCCCAATGAAAATTGATTGATTGAATCAATGATATTCGGTATTTGTAGGCGGCCGCCAAAGATGGAGCACCATCATGGGCGTCTTCCTGCCGTGTCTTCAGAACATTTTTCGGCGTTCTCTTCTTCATCCGACTCGCCTGGATCATCGGCACCGCCGGAAATATTTCAGGCGTTCTTCGTCGATGCTCACGTGTGTTTCTGTGGTAAGCGCACTGAAACTGTGATCAACTTCAATGGGCTATGCTCTTTAAAAGGCAATGTCTGAGAACCTCGAAATTCGCTAATTACACCAGGTCACTAAAAATTCCGAATGCTTCAAATTGTCCCATATTATACCCAATGGGTACTTACATACATAACAGTGATACATCAGACAAGTTTTGGTCCGGCTCCGTGGTCCCTAGTCCGATCACGAGCCCAAAATAGGTCAAAACTGTAACTAATTTCAAAAAAATGCTAGCGTCTCAGACTGAACGCCATTCGATTTCTCGCATCTTTTTAAGCATTTTTCATGTTGGCACCAAAAATTTAGCACCTCTCCTTCATGGAGAAAAATATTGTTTTGTGACATTTTTCAGACAATTTTTCAGTTTTCTGCTCGTCCTGAAAAATTTTAACACTACATAGCCATAATTTTGTTGCTGATTCTGAATCTATACATTATTGTGCTTCGGCAAAAAAAAAGTTCACCCCGATCTCGTTTTTTTGCCGAAATTCACAAAATTCGTAGTACTTTTGCATGGAAAAATGTTCGCGAACTTGAGAAAAGTGCGTTTTCTCAATTTTCAAAGGGGTCTCATTGCGATTTTTGTTGTTTTTGTATGTTTTTAGGCATTCTCGATTTTTTGGAAGCATTTCGAAAATTTAAAAAAATTAGACCAAGTCATGACAAAATTTTCGAGAAAAATTAATTTTTAAAATTAATTAAATGCTTCATCGAGAATGCCTAAAACACACGAAAACAACAAAAATCTCAAAGCGCCCTTTGAAAAGTGAAAAACACTCTCAAGTTCGCATTTTCCATGCAAAGTACTACATTTGCATTTCGGGCAAACGAGATCGAGGTGATTTTGCTACACAGTAATGTCTAGATGAGAATCAGCAATAAATCATGGGTATGTGGTGCTAAAATTTTTCAGGAACGAGCGAAAGACGAAAAATGTCTGTCCATGAAATATTTTCCTCATGAAGTGTAATGCTTAAAAGATGCGAGAAAATCGAATGGCATTGCCAGACGAAGGAAGCAAGCCGAGTTTTTCCCCGTTTTCAGACGTTCCTCACCTCGATCTCGCTCTCCGCAATTGCCACGAACGGGTGGTTCCGTCAGGGCGGTCCCTACTACATGATCTCCCGGAACCTGGGGCCCGAACTCGGCGGCGCCGTCGGCATCCTCTTCTACCTGGGCACCACGATCGCCGCGTCGATGTACATCACCGGCGCCATCGAGATCCTCCTCCTGTACATCTATCCGCAGGCCAAGATCTTCGACGACATCTATAACAACTACCGACTGCTCGGCACCGGTCTTTTGATCGTTCTCGGCCTGATCGTGATGGCCGGCGTGAAGTTTGTGAACCGATGCGCTCTTCCGCTGGTCATCGTCGTCATTTTCTGCATCCTTTCCGCCATGCTCGGCGTTTTTGTCCGCTACGACGGCAGCGACACGTTAAAGTTTTGTATGGTCGGCGATCGGCCCGTCGACCTGACTTCCTACTACGAACGCACTCGAATCCTACCCAATTGCACGGCCGACGGACTTCAGGAGCTGTTCTGCAGTGCCAACGGAACTTGCGATCATTACTACGACAGGGTGAGGCGGTTTCATGTCGATCAGGCGGAGGCCTCATTTCATAGTTTTCAGATGAAAGACATCAAAGTGTGGAAGGCGTCGGGAATGCCGGCGATCCGTCAGGAACAGGCGATCAAGGGCATCGCCTCAGGGCGTCTTCTTCGACAATCTCTGGCCAAAGTACCTGCGAGCGGGCGAGGTGCTCTCAAAGGATCGGAAGGACAAGGGCGACGTGAACCGGGGCGGTCATCCGTCGTACATCTACGCAGAATCGGTGACCAACTTCGCTGATCCTCGTCAGGTGTTCTTCCCGTCGGCGACTGGCATCATGGCCGGATCAGATCGTTCAGGGTAACCTGAGGGATGCGGCAAAAAAAGCATCCCGATGGGCACACTGGCCGCGCAAAACTTTTCCTCTTTCATTTTGTAAGTTTTGACGGACTATATATCGCCAGTAAAAATTGAACTCGTTCAGACCTCCTCAGGTGCTTCTCTTCGGCGCCTCCGTCTCCGGAAATGTTCATTCGCGACAAGTACGGTCGTTCCGCGATGGGCAAGCTCATCATCTCGGAGATCTCGTGGCCGTTCCCCCAAGTCATCCTCTTCGGCTGTTTTCATGTCGACCGCCGGCGCCGGAATGCAGTCGCTCACCGGCGCACCACGCCTTCTCCAGGCCATCGCCGCCGACGACGTGCTGCCGTTTTTGAAGCCGTTCCGGAAGATGGACTCGCGCGGCGAGCCCATCAAAACCATTCTCCTCACGTTGGCCATCTGCGAGTGCGGCATTCTCATTGCCGTCATCGAGAACATCACCGCGCTCATTACACAGTGAGTTGTTTTGCGATATGGCTCTACGAGAACACAACCAAAAATGTAGAAAGGGGCGTGGGGCCTAGTGTGCACGGTTTATCACAATTTTGGCGCGAAAAAAAATCGAAATTTAAAAAAAAAAAATCGAAATTTAACCCCCATTTTTCATGTTTTTCGTCAAAAATTACCCAAATTTTGTACGGGTTTCGACGATGAAATTGCATAACTTTATTAAACTAATCATCGCGCGCACTTTTTGAGCTTAAAACGAGCAGGTTTCATTCAGAAATGAATCGATTGAATCGATTTTCAAGTTTTGTGCTGAAAATGCGCGAATTTCAGTCATTCGCCGATACTTTTTGCCCGTTTGAACGCTTAAAATACTTGTATTAACGTGCTTAATCACTTCCGACACTCACTTCGTCTCAAAACTATCCACATCGGACGGTATGAAAATTCCGAAATTGCGGCGGCGATTGGCCGCGGAGCGCGTATTGCGAAATATGTCAAAAACGTCTCAAACGCGGCATTTTCACGAAAATTTCAATGTTTTCTCTCTTTAATGTGCTCTTCTTTCGTCGATATCAAACACAAAAAAAACGGAAAAGTGCTGGAATTGCGGCAATTTTCAGAAAACGCGTCTCAGATTAGGCCACGCCCCCCTTTCTACACTTTTTTGCTCGCCGGCCGTGGCGCTGGTCGACACAACTTTAACACGAGCATTTTGAGCAAATCTGATGCCGCGTCGAAAGTCTCGGACAAACCGTAAAAACCGCAGGTTTTTCTGTCCAAAGTCGGCCGAAATTTGCGTGAAAAACGGAAAATTTCGAAAAATTTCGTGAATAACCGTACCCGCTAAAACTACGGTATTTTTTTTGAAAATTTGCGCAAGAAATTTGAATATTTTCAAATATCCTCAAGAAATTAACACACAAATTTTCAAAAAAAGACATATTTCTTTGAACACTGTTTCACTGGGTTCTCTTTTTTCTTCAACTTTTCAAATCATTGATAGTGTAATACAAGCTCCTTTTTCTTCCAGATTCTTCCTCATGTGCTACCTGGGCGTGAATGCGGCGTGCGCCCTCCAATCCCTTTTAAAGTCGCCGGGTTGGCGTCCGGGCTTCCGTTACTTCCACTGGATCCTGTCGATGATCGGCGCGATCCTCTGCGTCGCCGTCATGTTCATCTCCGCGTGGCACTTTGCCCTCATCGCCATCTTCATCGGCGCCGGCGTCTACAAGTACATCGAGTACGCGGGTGCCGAGAAGGAATGGGGCGACGGAATCCGTGGCCTCGGTCTCTCGGCCGCCCGTTTCGCCCTGCTCAACCTGGACGATAAGCCGCAACACTCGAGAAATTGGCGTCCGCAACTGCTCGTGCTCGCGCCCGACTGCGATTCGGCCACCACCAACGGAATGCTGTCGTTTGTGAGTCAGCTGAAGGCGGGCAAAGGTCTGACGCTGGTGGCGGGTGTATGGAGGGCGAGTACGCGGAGAAGTACGTCGACGCGCAGGCGGTGCAGGGAGAAGCTGAAGGCGGTGGTGAAGAAGAACAAGATCAAGGGCTTCTGCGACGTGCTCGTCACCAACAATCTCATCGAGGGCATCTCGTGTCTTGTTCAGGTTTGCGATCTCGTATGTTTGCTGCTTTCCACGCTTCTCTGTCCGCTCTCTTTTCCGGTTTTTATGAGGTTTTATGTTAGCCGTCTCACGGTCTCCAGAGCTGACAATATGGGCGTGGCCTCGGCGGCCAAATGGCGTTTTCTCTGATTTTTGTGGTCAAAAGCGATGAAAAATGATTGTTCGACATGAAAACACACTAATTCTCGCAGAATTATGGACGTTTTGGCGCATTTTTCGCGGATTTCGCTTTTTCGAATTTTTTTTTTTCCCTAAAACCCGCACTTCTCATTTTGCGCTTTCTTGACCGTTTTCAGACAGAATTGATTTTGAGAATGATAAATCACGTAAATACAAGCATTTTGAGCGCTCGAACCGCGAAAATTACCGAAAAGCAACTGAAATTCACGCAGTTTTAGCGAAAAACCTTCAAACTTGACCAAATTTAACGCTCTTGCGCTTAAAAAATTTGTACTAGCCTATACAATCGATAAATCGAGAGAAAAATGAGAAATTATCGATTTTTCGTGGCTAATCTGGCAAAAAACACAAATTTAGCTGTTAAAATTTGAATTTCGCGCCAGTGTATCGCTCTATTCGGCGGGGCGCACTTGCGCCCATTGTCAGCTCTGGAGACCGTGCGTCTAACTATGCTTTTCATTCATTGTCATCATTTCTAGGGCCCAAAAAAACCGACTTTCTAGGACATTTTTGGAAACAGATTTCTGCGCAAAAAGTGCCCAACATCATAGAACTTTGGAACTTACCAAATTCCTCACTCAAAACCTTCTAGAAACAGGAAAAAAAGTGCTATCGTAACATGTTCACCGCTCGCTCACCGCACCCTCTATCACTATCACTTTCCCCGCACACTGTCACACCCAACGCCCACCAAATCCGCCCTTTTCCAGACCTCCGGACTCGGCGGAATGCGTCACAACACGGTGGTCCTCTCGTGGCCGGTCGAACGGGACCAGATGGACGGCGAGCAGCAGTGGAACGTGGCGCACAAGTTTGTGTCGGCGATTCGAGCCATTTCGGCGGCGAAATGCGCTATTATGGTGCCAAAATATGCGGAGAGGTTCCCGGCGAACGGCACTAAAGTCTCGGGATTCATTGATGTTTGGTGAGTTTCGGAGAGCATTTTGAAACGGTGCAAACTATGATGATCCCTATCCTATGCAGGTGGGTCGTTCACGACGGCGGCCTTCTGATGCTCCTTCCGTTCCTGCTCCGTCAGCACAAAACGTGGAAGAACACGACGGTTCGTCTGTTCGCAATCGCGCAACTCGAGGACAACAATGTGCAAATGAAGACGGATCTCGAGAAATTTCTGTACCATTTGAGAATCGACGCGGCTGTCAATGTTATCGAAATGGTTCGTCTCAAAAAGTGAAAAAAATTGATTGAAATTGACACTTATCAAGATTTTGAAACAGCAACGTTTGGAATTGTACAAATGTTTTTGTACGCAAACTAGACACCTTTTTCTATGCCTACAATAGCTCTTGGAAGTTGCAATACGCTTCTAGAAGCTACCATAACTTCCAGAAGCTACAGTGAAAGCTTAGTCTCAGTGATACCAAGAAGATGTCAACTGACAAAACCAAGTACTAGGTCCCTAGATTATGCCCAAAAAAACTTTGAGAACAATTGAAGGTCCCGAAAAGCAGTTATGGTCCCTCAAAGTTCACCTTTTTTTCGTTCCAGACCGACTCTGACATCTCGGACTATACCTATGAGCGCACGATGAAAATGGAGGAGCGCAATCAGTTGCTGAAGAACCTGAACAAGTCGGACCGTGATAAAGACATTCAGAATCATTTTGGAAGTGGTGACGCGGGAACGGAAGTTGAGCCGAATCAACGAGGAAGCGGTTGGTCCTTCATAGTTCTATTCCGTTTAAAAAGAACCTTTTTTTCAGCCGGCAGTGGTCCCTGAACAACGGAACCTGGAGGCTGTGAACGAGGAACAAGAGGACGGCAAATCGGATGTGCTCCCTGAGAAGTTGGAGCACAAAGGGAGTCAGATTTTCGGATGATGAGGATGCGAAGGAGGTCGGATTAGTGTTTCAGAACTTTGAGGGACCGTATCAGCGTTTGAAAGGGACCCTTTGTTTCAAAACTTTTTGAGCGTAATCTAGGAACCTAGTAGTTGATTTTTTCAGTTGACAACTTTTTCGTACCACCTTTTCTAAGCCTACTACCCCTGAATCCTGAAACTTTTCAGCTGTTATCTTTTCTTTCAGCCAAAAGCCGGAAACGGAACTCTGGAGCGGGATCGCGAGGAGAGACAACGAAAAAGACGGTACAATGTGCACAAAATGCACACGGCGGTCAAGTTGAACGAGCTGATGCGCCAGAAATCAAGCGACGCTCAACTGGTGTTCGTGAACCTTCCGGGACCGCCGGACGCCGATTCCGACTCGTATTGTGAGTGTGCCATGGCCCAAGTTATGAGGACTGTGAGCCAGTAGGATCCACATGGAACTCTAGAGCCCACAGTTTTTTCGCAACTTTTACTTCTCTTCCAGACATGGACTTTATCGACGCGCTAACCGAGGGCCTGGACCGTGTGCTGCTGGTCCGCGGAACCGGTGCCGAAGTGGTGACCATCTACTCGTAGACACTGTCTCTTTTCCCTTAAACTGGTACCCCATATCCTCTCCCCGTTTCCCGTTTTTCCGATATCATCCATTTCCCCCATACCCCCTCCATCTCATTTCGATTTACACATTTTTCAACGAGTTATTCGATTCAGTTCAGTTTTTTTCTAGATTTTGAGTTCATTTTTCAGTTCCACCCCTAAAAAAATCTACTTACCCTAGACGTTTCTCTTGATATTGTATCATTTTTCCCTCACCAGATTTGCATGACATCGAACTTTTTTTGCACAACAACAAAAAAACAATGCGATTGTATACAAAATAAACGTTTTTTTATATATATATATATGTATATATATCGATAATTTTTTTCTGTTACAAACAATAGCTAGAACATCTTTTTCCTATAAACAGACTGACAAAAGTACTGTGGGTCAATTGGAAAATGCGAAAAGAGTTTAAAAGGTGGTGTCCAACGTGACATAATACAACATATTTTTTAAAATAAACTTCGAAGTGGGACATTCACTTTCCCGAAGTCCCGAATTACGAAAAATTTCCCGATTTTTTAAGATTTTTTTCAAAAAGTTAATGGTACCGAGAGAAAGTACACGGCGAAACGGAAGAGCTGGCCTAGATTTTTCTAGTCCCCGGAAGGAATTCCCCTTTCTTCCGATTTTTTCCGTTTTCGTGCAATTTTTCTTAAATTTTTCAATTGTTTTTTTCACTGAGCACACTTATTTGCAATATTTTAAAAAATTTATAATTTTATCTGTTCCGTGACGCCAAAAAAATCGATAATCTGAAACTTTCAAAATTCAGCAAAATTCAGAAATTCAGCCACTTTTTGTAAATCTGAAAATAGAAAGTTTGGGATTTTTCGCATTACTTTGAAAAATATAACTTTCTGTAACTCGCAAACTTTAATTAAGACTCAGGAAATGATTGAGCGATCTTTTTCTATTTATTTTTCAGCGCGCAAACCGAAGAATGAGCGAAAAACCCGGAAAAACAAAAAAGTTTCAGATTATCGATTTTTTTGGCGTCACGGCACAGAAAAAATCATAAATTTTTTTTTAATATTGCAAATAAGTGTGTTCAGTGAAAAAACGATTGAAAATTTAAGAAAATTGCACGAAAACGGAAAAAATTCGGAAGAAAAGGGAATTCCATCCGGGGACTAGAAAAATCTAGGCCAGCTCTTCCATTTCGCCGTGTACTTCTCTCTCGGTACCATTAACTTTTTTGAAAAAAATCTTAAAAATCGGGGAATTTTTTTTGGTAATTCGGGATTTTGGGAAAGTGAATGCCCCACTTCAAAGTTTATTTTAAAAATATATTGTATTATGTCACGTTGGACACCACCTTTAATGTTTCATGTTGTTGATGAAACTTTACATACACATATTTGTGAACATGAAAATAGCAATAGTTGGACAATATCTCACTTTTTGATTCAATCGTTTTCGCCGTGCTACCCCTCTTTTTCTCTGCGTCTCTTCCTCTCTCTCTCTCCACTTTCTGCCCATTCACAGTCCCCCTACCCTCATTCTTCCAGACCTCTTCCAACCATTTTATCGATTTTTTTTGTTTGCCTCCATTTTACACTCAAATCTCCGTTCAATTTCAGCAGTTCTACGTCATTATGAGCGGTTTAAACGTGTCGCGAGTGAGAAAAAAAGGAGAAAGAGCAAACGCGACTCGTACTTCAATCCGGATGGCTCGGTGAGCTACGAAGTGCTCGCCAACAACTGGCTCAACCGAAACGGACCAGATTGTGAGGAAACGGAGGTGAAAAACAAGGTCCCGAAGGTCCCGAAGATCCGTGTCGATGAGAACAGTGTGATGACAAAGATCTATGGGCCCAACTGGAGGCAATAGTGAGTTCCCGGTCCTCTTTGGAATTTCTCTGGAACTGTTTTCTCTTTCAGCAAGCCCCGGTCCCGTAGCACATCGCCATTGAAGTCACCGTCGAGCAGAAACGTCTGGAATCGAGTATCTTTCCCATTGAAGCGATAGTTTTTGTACCATTATTATTGATAAGTATATATATATATATTGTTTGTAAAATGAAATGAAATTAAATTAAATGAAAAGTCACATTTGTACAAGCAGAAGAGCATCAAAAGTTACACGTTTGAAGAGAACATCATTTTTTGTCCTTCAACTTCGGACGCCCATATCTTGAGAACCAATAATTGTTTCAAAAAGTTGTTAACAGCAAAGTTGTAGCAAATTTTATGCTCTACAACTTTGTAATTGATTATTTTACTCTAAAATGATTAATTCTAAAGTTATACACACATTTCTGAGCGGTTCCTGGTCCCTCCGATCCTTTTATCTATTTTTGACGTGATAAGCGCTCGAGAAAGAACTCGAGAAATCTCTCTCATTTTTTTTTTCGTTTTCCCACACAAATATCACACAAAAGCTCACAATTTTGCGAGCCTCAACCTTTACGGACCAAGAGCACACGGATCCGGGAGGAGCGAGAGAAAGAGGGAGCGGTCAAAGGAGATTTTTTGGAAAAAGCAAAGGATACATAACATTTTGCGGGTTGTTGTAAATAGAAAAGAGGAAAAGTGATGCGGGTGGAGAAGAGCAAGAGTTCGCGGATATTTTTAGTCAACTTTGAGGCGCTATAATAGCTTCCTGTACCACTTTTTCTAAACCTACAATTCGAGGGTACTGTAACTTCCATGAGCTACAGTAGACCTAGAAGTGGTCCTAGAAAAAAGTGATCAACTACAAAAATACACTAATAGGTCCTTAGATTACGCCCAAAAAAATTCAGACCGATACGACATCTTCGGACCCGGTGATGGTCCCTCAAAGTTGGCACTTATTTTCTCAACATCGAGCAAAAACTTCATTGATGCTTTGTAACATTTTCAATTTTACAAAACTAATTTACACTAGATCACTGTTACAGTAACTTTTTTTTTGGTGCCCGGCTTGCTGAATTTAAGCCTAAGCCTCATGAAATGCGTCGACAACTTGTAAAAATACACGTTTTTTGTGAGGAGTAGTGAAATCCCGAGAAAAGTGAAAGTCATTGTAGACTTTCAGAAACGGAAACAGTTTGCAAACTCTTCTTTTCTAACTAAAATTGGAGAATAGCACTCAGCGGAGTACAGCGTAAATATTCTGAGCTTTATAGCAGAGATGTTGGGAATTTCGTGTTCCGTGTTCCGCGTTTTTTTGCAATATTTTTTCCGTGTTCCGTGTTCCGTAAAAATTTCCGTGTTCCCTAGAAATAAGTTTTTTTCCGTTTTTCCGTGTTCCGTGTTCCGTAAAAAAATTTCCGTGTTCCGTAGAAATAAGTTTTTTTCCGTTTTCCGTGTTCCGTGTTCCGTAAAAAAATTTTTCCGTTTTCCGTGTTCCGTGTTCCGTATTCCGTAAAAATTTCCGTTTTCCGTGTTCCGTGTTCCGTATTTTCCGTTTTTCCGTGTTCCGTGTTCCGTAGAGTAAAATTTTTATTCCCAACATCTCTGCTTTATAGACGCTTTGATGACATTCGTAAACTTTTCAAAACTAAAAAGTGGTAGACGAAACTGTAACCTACAATAGTTGAGCGGAATTCCGCCTTCCGCCTTCCGCCTTTTCAAGAAAAAAATCGATTCCGCTCAACTCTGTGCTCTGTACCGTAATATGATTTTGCAGTTTCAAAACTACCATTTATAGCTAAATTTTGAACGTTCACCTTTTTTCGCAAGTTATTGATTTTTCAGCGATTGAACCGTCTTTTGATATTGTCCTTCTTTCCAACCATCTTATACACTTCCAGCACTCCAGAATCCAAATGACAGAGATCGGAGGTGTGTCGGTGCCGGCGGCGATCGCTCCGCTCTTCTCGATGCCCCAATCGACGATTGATGATATCCAGAATCCTGGCCAACCGTTCTCCTACTCCCGGCCGACGCCCGGAGGACCGAAACTCCATCAACGCATCAAGTGTCCGAGGGTAACTAACTGAAATACGATCAATTAAGTGTAGTTCGGAAAGAAAAAGAAGAAGCCAGAGATCCATCACTTTTTCCTTCACTTTTTCCTCTCCACCGTCTCTTGTTGTCTTCCTCAGAGGAGGCTCTCAGTGTAACGCCGGCATGGAATCATTTCTCGGCGTCTCCGCACTTTCGGCGCTATTTCTCGTCGCCGGACGGATCCAGTCGCTCATTCTCATCGCTTTTTGCGATGAGTTGATACGTTAACACTCGTCTTCCCACTCAATTCTTCTCGCTCGCCTTTTTTCGGATCTTTTCGCTTACTAGCGTGGCATGTTCCATCATTTACCCCCACTTTTTCTTGATTCCGGCATATTAGCTCTTCAAGACGATATATCTCAGCGGCTGGTACAGATGGCAAATAGTTGTCAACTGATAAAATGTACAAAATGTTTCAATAAACATTTTTATTAGTTGACAACTTTTTGATATCTTCGCTGGCCGATGAGATACAGTACTGGTCAAACATCAACACCATCTTCCAGGTAATCCCGCTCTCGTTCTGGTCCTCATTTTTCCGAAGACGAAGAGGAGCCGGAAATGCCGCAAACTGTTCATCTTCAGTACAACTCGCCGATGGGATTGTATTCCAAGTGAGTTGGGGGGACAAAAATTTCGGTTACTCAAACAGAAATATCTCAGTTGCGTGTAGAGTTGTTGAAAAAGTTGTCAATGGATAAAATGTAGAAAGTGTCGCATGGAGCATTTTATCAGTTGACAACTTTTCGATATCTCCACCGACAGCCGCGCGGCTTTTCGCAACATACGCAGCGAAATGGTATGCATTTTTGCGCGTCAGTGTGGCTCTGCGTACAGTGCATTTTTATGTTACGCGCAAAGTTCATTTTTTTAGTTGTTGATGAATTTTCTCCAAATATTCATCTCTTTAAAAGCGTTTTTTTCTCTGCTTTCTACCTCAATTAGACCTTTTTGCAGATTCCAGATGAAGTAATACGCGAAGAGAAGTCGATGCGATGAAAAAGAAACGCGTAAGTAAATGGAAGTAATGTTTTTATTCAGAAAATATACGATTTCTCGAAAAAAACGTCTCTAGATCTTCTAATCTTTTTGATTTAAAAAGTTCACTCACATGACTGTGAATGTCTTCGAATAAAAAAGTAGAGTGACAGCTCGCTTTCGCGTAAAAGTGGTTTTTGCTGAAAAAAATTTTTTTCTCAAAAACCGTCTCTAGATTTTTCTAATTTTTTTGTTTAAATAGTTCACTTACATGACTGTGAATGTTTTTCGAACCAAAAAGTAGAGTGACAGTTCGTAAAAAGCATTTTTCAACGAAACTTCACTGTCTTCCGGCAAACTATCGGTTTTTTCCGCGAAAGCGAAACCGTCACTCTACTTCTTTTTTTAGTTCGAAAACATTCTTTGAAATGTAAGTAAAGTTTTTTAACCAAAAAATTAGAAAATCTAGTCACGTTTTTCGAGAAATCGTGCATTTTCTGAATAAAACCTTACTTTCACTTACTTACGCGTTTCTTTTCATCGTATCGACTTCTCTTTGCGTATTACTTCACCTGGAATCTGTAAAAAGGTCTAATTGAGGTAGAAAGCAGAGAAAAACGCTTAAAATAGATGAATATTCGGAGAAAATTCATCAACAACTAAAAAAAAAGAACTTTGCGCGTAACATAAAATGCACTGTACGCAGAGCAACACCGGCGTGCTAAAATGCACAGACTGAGGATCAAACGTTTGGTGAACGTCGCAAAAGCCGCGCCGTGTATAGCCGAGATAAAGTGTCTCGAATAACGCAAATTTTTGACACAATAGCCTTTCAGGGAGGCGGCGGTCGAGCAATTCCAGCAACAAATCGGCGAGACCCCTCAAGATTTGCCCGCCCAGGACAAGCACTTTGACCCATCGAAGAGCGCGACGCTCAAGTACTTGAAGGAAGGCGAACGAGAGAATTTTGGCGAGAACTTTTTCGAGAAGGTAGCCCAAGCCGAGGCGCCGCGAGTTCCCCATCAATCGGAACCGGCGTGGGCTCGGACTGCGCGGGAAAAGAGCGAGAGGGCTCGGAGCAAGACGCCCGCCGATCCGACCCAAGCGTATCGGTCCGGGTCCTCGCCGGCACCCTCCACCAACTATCCGGTTCATTATGAGAGTGCGCGGGAGCACGCGGAGAAGAGCAAAGTGTTCACGCACAACGTCAACGATTTCGGACGGTCCTACTGGGATGCGGCGCCGCCAGAGATACACGCGGAGCCAGTCGGCCCGGACGCGAACTCGTCAATCGCGGCTATGAACTCGGCGGACTCGATTTCACCGGCGGTATCCACGTGGATCATGGCACCGACTATCAGTACTACGAGGAACCGGCGCGCAAGCCACAGCAGCCGAAGCTCCCGCCGGGTAGGCTCAGGCACCGATTTCTATCGGGGACACGTGTCCGGCAATTCAAACTATCGGGGACACGGTCCCGATCCGCCACGACTCCGGCCAAAGTACACGGCGGATCCGCACGACCCGATGCAACGTGGCAGTCGCGCCCAATCTGGAAGTGGTACGCTTTTATTCATTCGTGCTTTTTGGTATTATTCTCGTTGAAATTGCAGGTGGATGCGAACCTTCTCATCGGCGACACACTGTCAACAGAAGATCCGTCACGAAGTGCGTCACATCGATCAATCAAGTTCGGCACCTCGTTCGGTCCCCCACAGGGCTTCCTGCACGACCATCACACCGTCCAAAAGTACGCCGACACGCCGAAACCGCTCGTCTACTCGCTTTCGGCGAACAAATCAGCTCGCCCGCTCCGCATCGCTACCCCGCTCGTCCGCACCGCCCGAACACCACCACAGCGTGTGGAATAATAGCAGCCAACAGTTGGAGGTGGATAAGGAGGGTAGGTGGTGAAACGGACAATATCGAAAACGTAGCCACGGGTGAAGGTGAACATTCGCACGTTGCTCAACGACGACACTGCGCGCCAGGAAGCGGGAGCAGTCGCCGTGGTGGGCCGCACGTTCGGAGCAGACGCATGAGGCGTGGAGAGGAAGAGGGATTGATCCACGTCTCCAGAGATATGAGGTCCCCCTGTGTGTGTGCAGTTGAGCAGCTAACTGTTTCACTAACTTCACCTAATGCCAATAATCGTTAGTCGAGTTAGTAGGTATTCTGACATTTTTCCGGAAAATATAAATTAAGCCAGGGCTGGGCAATTGGCCGGCCCTTGACCTGGACTTTTGAACCACATTCAATATTCCGATCGGACCAAAACTTTTCAGGCTTCTTGGACATGGATTGAAGCATACTGGGACCAAGTTTCAGCTCGATCGGATCGTCGGGTTCCGAGATATGTAGATCATTGGCCAAAATTGACCCGGAAGCCCGAGCTTTTGGATCGGCCAATGATCCACATATCTCGGGACCCAGCTGATCGGCAAACTCCCCAACCCTCAATCCAAGTCAAAGACTGCAAGTGCAGTGTCGGCGATACTGAAAGTCAGGCAAAGACCGGTCAGTGCGTCGTCATTCTTGTGCTTTTCAGTTTCACTCACCGCCCAAGCGTTGCAATTTTCTCCAAGTTCTTTCAATAAAATTCGTTTTCTGAATATGCACACTTGCAGACGTACATAACGGAGCCGAATTGGCGTCGCGCGTCGATCAACGTCGTCTGGCGTGGGAGCGTCGCGCATTCGAAAACGAACAGCGTCTGAGCCGTCCGTACTCGGAAAAAGTGAGCGGATATATGATCTTTTTCTCTTGAATCTTGTGGGGGAGAAAGAAAAAGAGATGATAAAGTGAGGAAAGCATCATGTTTTGTGATGTGATGAGCAGCAGAAACTTCTAGAGAAAGAGGAACTTGCCGAGAAATAGTATAGGAACACTGGGAGACGGGCCGGAGAAAAAAACGGAGAGAAAGTTTTAGGTGGCGCCGGGCGTGCCTCCTGCCTGGCATGCAGAGGCACAACACAAGCATCAGCAGTGGCAGCAGCAGGCGGATAATATGAACACGACTAGTAGTCAGGTGAGCTCATTAAACGCAATTTATCTGCGATGTGAGTGCAGATGTTGAAAAGTGATCAACTGCAAAAATGTGCACAATTTCCTAATGAACAATTCCTCAATTGACAACTTTTTGATATCTTTCCTGGCAACTGAGATATCGTTTTGCAGAGATAAGCTTTACTAGAGATTATATATTCGAAAGTTCTAATATACTCTATACGAAACAGTAATACCAAAGCATCCAATATTCAGAATTACTCTACTCCACCACCGGATATGAACCAATCGGCGGAGGAGGAGGAGGACAGCGAGTCATACCATGAGAACCGAGCAATATTCGTCGAGCGCCTAGTGAGTTTTACTGATGACAAATAATTGATTTTACGCTATCCAACTGATCACGTTTGCAGCCGCCATCTCAAACTCACCAGAATGCTCAGCGCCAGTTGAACTCTGGTAAGTTGCTTGCGCTCGCAATGAGCAAGAGGACAGCTGTTCTCGAGCCGCCCACGCAATCATTGGGAGCTCGAAAAACGAGGGAAAAGGCTTGTTTCAGGCTACAACACGAACCAGGTGGAGTACGTGCTGTCGCACAAGGACAAGTACGCCGACGGGCCGCACTATCAGCCGCCCATCGTCAACTCGTCGTCTTCGTACACGACCGGCCAAAATCAAAACTACTCGTCGTCGAGCGCTCAACAACAGCAGACGAAGACGATTCCGGTGCAGAACTATCAGGTTGGAAATCATGTCCGTTTCTTCGCGCCCGGCTAGAGATATCTCACAAAGGTGTCAATGGAGAAAGTGTGCACAAAGGTTGTATGAACATTACATCAGTTGACAACTTTTCGATATCTCTACCGATCAACTGAGATATAACGCGTTGAATGAAGAGGTAAGACTGCAAAAACTTTAAGCTTTGGCTTTGAAAGTATTTAGGGTTTCATACCAGTTTACATCTGATAATCACAACTTTTCTGAAATATAATTGAAAAACAAACACACATCCAGACATTCCCGACCTTTGATTCTTCGTTCTTTGAGGTTAAATCAGAAGAGTATATTGTGTAGACCTCACTTTTTAGAACTCTAATCAAGCGTCATCATTTCGTGATCATCCCGGTTCACACACAGTTGTTGATACAGTAACCTAGACTATTGTAGTTTTATAAGTTCTAACTGGACCGTTTTGCTTGGAGCTCACCGGTTGACCGTGTTCTCAGTTCTTTCAACCTCCCCCTATTTCTTGTTCAGAACACTCAAAAGATCGTTTTGTCGAGTCGAGCGAAAAGTTCCATCGGGACCTCGCCTCCCCACTTTCTAAAAGCCATTTCCGGTCCAGACCGCCGGCACCTTTAACAGAGATCTCCAAAGTGTTCAACACTCAAGAGGTACTGTAGACGCGAAATATTGTGGATTTCTAGAAGCAGAAAGTGCATGAAGAGCGCACGTCTGTTGCTGACTATGAGGCGGGAGGGATTTGTAGGCAAAAAATGAATGAAAGGAGAAGGGTTTACAGGAAGAAGTGGTGAAGACGACGGATTCCATTCCACTTCCGTCTGCTCAGGACGTTTGCGAGGTTACCTGCCATTGACTAGTACTAAACAGTACTAAAACACAAATATAATAATAACCACCTCAATAAGTTGCCTACCACAAACAGCCAACCAACACACACAGCAATCTTCAACAATTCAGTGATCTTTTGCAGAGCTCCAACTACAACAAGAGCTTCTTCGAGGCAAACGACGACTCAACACCAACCTCAGCCAGACCACTTCTTACAACTATTCGACGGTGAGTTGTCAACTGATTTTCTCAACTAGTTGATCACTTTTGATATCTCTTTCATTAACGCAAATATCGATTTTCTAGAGCACTGCTGTCCATCGCAACCCGCTAAACCGTCCTTTCATCAGGAGAGTTACACCTCACAGAGATTGCACCACAGCAGAGAATCCAATCCCAACCGGCCTTCCTACCAATGACGAGAACTATTTGAGCAGCTGAAAGGAGGAGGTGGAGACAGAGCTCCACAAAACCCCAAATCTGACATTTGCAGAGCCGTCGCGAAGAGACCTCGGCCAGTGTCGCAACTCTCGCAATACTCGGAATCAGCGTAAACTACAGGCGCAGCTATGAGGAGAGAAGACGGAGACGACGACGGTGGTGCCGGCAGTCGCAGTGGCTCCGAGCACTGTGCCTGCGGATTTGTCGAACGCGCAGTCCGTCGACGATGTTCAACAAGAAGACCGAGATGACGAGTCGCTGCCGATCGGATCCGTCTTCAACACTCCATAACAATACTGAGGTGGGTTTGAAGGCCTATATCTCAAAAACCATCAGTTGTATCAAGCGGTTGTCAACTGAAAAGTTGTAACAAATTTCAAGCTCTACAACTTTTGGTTGACAATTACAACAGCGAATTGCAGGGCGGATACCGTGACGTGAACGGTCATGACGTGTCGTACAAGCGTGAAACGCAGACTGGCGATCCGGGCCGCGAGCTGCTCTTCTCAAAGGAGGAGGAGAAGCGAGTTGTGGAGACTCCGCTGGAGCCAGGAGTCATCTCGCGCACACGTCACCACCAAGTACTACAAGAAGAAGACCGTCACTGATACGACGACCACCACCACTGCCTGAATGAATTGACGCTTCACATTTTGAAAGTAGTGATTAGTTTCGTTTTGAAGAGACATGTTATAAACGGTAGTGTTAAGTAATGCATCTGATTGTGTTTATGGGTGCTCACCCTCCTTTCATGTGGTTTAGCAGCGCATATCTTTAATAAACTTTTTCTTTGTCGAGTTGTGCATGTTGACAGGTAGATCAGTTGAAACGTACACGGACCGAATTGCTGGCGCTTTTCAAAATTAATAGTGAGCAATTTCCACTCACTCGGTCATCATTTCTGTCAGCAACTATTCCTAAGTGATGCTGATAAGCACAAGTCGTTTGACACACACTTTCTCCATTTCTTTTCTCACTCAAATCATAGTTTTCAGCAGAGTTGAGCGGAAGAACTCAACGGAAGAATTTTTATCTTTTTTAGAAAATTTTTTCATGAAATGTGATCAACTGACGAAATGTAAAGCAAAGTGAACTGTGCTCATAGAAAAATAATTGTAAATTTAGCTTTTCATACAAAAAAGTTATTCGAATTCCGTCTTCCGTTAGCCCCCTTTTTCACGGAACAACTCGAATAACTTTTTTGTATGAAAAGTTAAATTTACAATTATTTTTCTATGAGCACAGTTCACTTTGCTATACATTTCGTCAGTTGATCACATTCCATGAAAAAATTTTCTAAAAAAGATAAAAATTCTTCGTTGAGTTCTTCCGCTCAAATCATAGTTTGCAGGTGCAGAAATGGCCACTTTCGAATCGCTGGCTTATCCATTCAAACGGACTATTCAATTCGAAGTTGATGATATAAAAGAGTTGATCGGTGAACGTCGTGGCAGCAGTGTTCAAGTCGGAAAAAGCAAATGGTGACAGAAAATGCAACTTGTTTGTGAAACAAGTATTCCAATTTATAGGGCTGTCCAAGTGGGCGCTGAATGTTCTAAATGGACCGACAATGAAAAATATTTGGGTGTTTACCTGACGTGTTCGTCTGACATTAAGGATGAAATGAGAATTTACACATCTTATCATACCCGAATCTTGAATCTCCAAACTTCTGGAAAGACGGCGATCGACAAACGTCGAACAGACGTGTATTCGGGCAGAAAAATGGTTCAAATTTTTCGAAACGTGTAATATTCGCGAGTTGGTACAGAGATGAATTTATAGGATGGTTAAAATTTTTGAAATGGAGTGAAATCGACCAGTACACTAAGGACGGGAAGCTTTTGATCGAATGCGCACTCCAAATTGGTTCTGAAACGGGACTGCCGAGACGAACAATCGACTTCACAGCCGAGAGACCTAATTTGGAGGATATTGCCAAGCATCATGGACATTATCTGGACACGCAATGATAATTTCAGAACGAAGCCAATGCTATGGAAACAATAAAACTCTCCGCAACGCTAGAGGATATCCCCGAAAACACTCATCTTTTTAGTGATTCGGTTTCCGTCGGTGGACTGCCATGGTACTATATTTCATCACTTTTAATACGAAACCCCACGGAACCCCAGCATTCCAATGCGCAAGCGAGTTGTCAATGGGGCGCGCTTGCATCCGCCGTCGGCTCGGAGTTTCTTTTTCAATTGAAAACCCAGAATTCTTTCGTTTTTTCTCTTAATCAACACTCAAATTTTGTTCTTTGCGAACCGTGCAGGCGATTGTGTGAGTTAAAAGCATCGATTTAAGCGCGAAACGGAGCAGATTCGTTCAGAATTGACCAAATTGAGGGATTTTGCCGAAAAATACTGAAAAAACGGAGTTTTAACGATTATTTGCCGAATCGACACTGGCATTCGAACCGTCCCGTCAACAAGGAGTTTATTGCGCATCTTTTAAGCGCTCAACCGTCGAAAAATATACAGAATTGAGATAATTGAGGCAAATTTTCGATTCCAAAAGGAAAAAATCTGTAATTTTTCACATAAAACGTTTCTTGAGAAGTGATGACGAAAGCAGTTAAAATTTTATTTTTATTCATT